CACACTGTTTCAAAGGAGTTAATTGTAATAGACTTGGTATTATATATGAAGCAGGTTGTAAAGTAGAATGAACACTATCTTGTTTCAAAAATGGCTCAAGGAATTCGATTTGAAGATAGCTGGCTGCAAGACAATTCTTCTAATAAATGGAGCATCAAGCCATTCCTATAAAAATTTAGCTCTTCACAATACAACTGTTCGCTGCCTCCCTCTTTATACTACATCTCGCATTCAGCCTCATCATGTTCTTTAAATGTCACTATAGAAGCCACTTTATAAAATGGCTACTTGATCAGTATGAAGCTGAAAAAGATGATAAATTGAATGATCTTGGAGTTATGAAGTTTATTGACTGATCATAGAGAGAAGTGTCATCAGAAATAGTGTATAACTGTTTTTAGCATATAGGGATCCTTTCAACTGATCAAGATAATGATGAAAATAAAGAGCCTGATATTGATGATAATGATAATAATTTGATGGAAAAACTATATGTAGACATTGAAGTACTTAACTTTCAGAATATAATAGATCTTAAGAAATATATTAACTACCCAGAGAAAACGAATATATATGATATACTTAATTACCAGAAAATTTTAAACCTAGCTACTAATCTAAAATCTGCAGAAAATGAAAGTGATGAAGATGATAGTACAGAAATATATTTAATTACTCACCAGGAAACACTAAATATAATAGAGCTAATTGAGCAATATATTGTACAACAAGATCTTGCCGAAGTGGCACAGGATAAGTATGATGAAACTTTATTAAAATTACAAAAAGAAATAAGAAAGTTTTGAAATGCAGCTTTTAAACAAGCGAATATTGAAACTTACTTTATACCAGAGACACCAAAGATCTAATTTGTTGCAAAATACAACTAACTTTCTTAAATCTAGCTTAGTTAAAAAAAATTATAAATTTAGCTTCATTAATAACAAAAAAAAAATTATAAATCTAGCTTAAAAAAAAAAAAAAATTAAAGATCTTCTAGTTATTTGTTCTTAACAGTAACAGCTTAATATTAAATATTAGCAGAGGTTTTCTTGAATATATTAGATTTAAATTGAATTTGTTGTTTTAAATGAGAATATAAAGCTTATATCGTGTAAAAATTTTATGTATATGCATACATATAACGATA